AACGATTAATTGCATTTACCTCCTGATAACCAAAGTCAGTGGCCCAGCCTTCTTGAAGAAATTCATCTCTTCGTCTATTTAGAAACTCTTTATTCCTCCCTTACTATGGAAGTAAGAATTAGGCTGTAACAGATTGCCCACTCGTATTACTTCGTTTTGGCTTTCGTGTCCCTATATTTGCACATCGCTCTCTTCCTAATTAAACTGACGTCAATAATATAGTAACAAAACTAGGGAATTCAGCTGAAAATTTCAAAGCAATTGGTCCAGTAGTTAATAGAAAAGCGGTTTGGCACAACAACAAAAAGAAAATACAAAATGAACAAACGATCCATCGCCATTTCGTGTCCAATAAATCTCAACAATGCAACGAAAGACAGTGAAACTTAGTTTAAATTGATTTAAAATTGTCCGGGTGACAAAATTCTATTTGTCGTTGTCGAACTATCAAATCCCAATATTGCACCTTAAATAGCGAATCTCTTATAATGTAACCGTTCATTCAAAATATCGTTCATGTTTGCAGCACCTTAAAGTGTTCTCCGGGTGAGGTTCTTTCTGGTTGTTTCCCCGAGCATTGATTTCCTTATTTATGTCCGTAACAATGACCAATTGGGAATAAGTCAACAATGACGTAACAATTGCAATTTATGTAGCCGCTCGGACACTTCTTTTGTTCAGACAGATATTGATGCATATGTGTAAACATTGCTTTCTTATATCGATTTTGGATTTAATTTGTCAGTTTTCAGTAGTGTTTCCAAAAATGAGTTGTAAGTTAAATAACCTAATTGCAATTATGTCTTTTGAGCAGCTTTAGTTTTGTTGAAATATATTCAAAAATTAGTCCTAGAAAAGCTGTGATATAAAAAAACATGATGAACATGTAAACCAGTTCGCAAGCGCCAACTCTCCTAAACACTTTTAAAATAAGCATCAAAATTTTGCAATGGTAAAATAGGGGAAAGTTTTCTGGGGTCAAGGGTCAAGGAAACACCCATGTCTTTCCATAACTGTTGGAGGGGATGGTTATTTTAGGCGAATTTAGTAAACCATTCACGGACATGGGCCAAGGAATAGTTCACCGGTTATTTGTGGATACATAAACTTTGTGCTGCTGCGAGCCCGGGTAGCTCAGTCGGTAGAGCGTTGGAATTTTAATCCAACGGTAAAGGGTTCAAGTCTCTTATCGGGCGTTATTCTTATTCTTTATTCTTTCGACGATTGTATTTCAATCTCACTGGTCGTAAAATACTAATAAGGAAATTGAGATAAAAAAAAAAGAACAACAACGGCATAATAACTAAACGATCCCACAGGTCGTCCACTTCTCCAATAAAAGTTATATACAACACTTCAACCAGTTTTTGAGTACTGAAAAAGGAAAATTGATTTGTTCCATTAGTCACAGATAAGATTTTTCTCGGCAATAACTATCATCCCAAACAAGCACGGGATTTCTCTCTATATCATGCTCTTATGAAGTTTTTCTGAATGAGTGTTCTACGCGACAGGGATCGTTCTTTGGTGCCTGTGAGTCGTAAATTTGTCTCCCTGTCTTATTCTTTTAATTAATGTGCAATAGTGATATAGACAAATTTGCTAATTGTTCAGAATCTCTAATAGTTTAAACCTCGTGTATGCAATAAATTACTACAAGACGAAATATATTTTGGGCTATCGTGATTTAATTTGACCCAGCCTTGTCAAAATTTATTTAATATGACATATCTATTTCAACTCATAGTCATATTTGTCTATTTCTAAATTATTTCTGAAGGGTTGCAATGCCAATCTGATTGTTTCCCATCTTAATACCTTATTACATTTTAAGTCTTTTTCTTATCCCATAGAAGGCATAGAGCAATGTTTCTCAAACTTTTCCCGAAAATTAGAAGGTAATATCGTTGGCTGGTTTTTATAAAATTTATTCCAAGGCAAAAAAAGTTTGCTATTGACGGTTTCCGAAAACTACATGCTTTTCAGTCTGGCACAAGGCCTGTCCGCCTGTTTGTCGCCAGTTGAGAGACAAATTTACGACCCAGAGTCGCCGAAGTACGACCGAGATCGCCATGGCGACCAATTTAGTCGCAGTTTCGCGGAACACTCCGAAGAAGCTTGCGCAACAGCATGCAGTATTCCGCGGAACACAGTTTAGTTAGGAAACGCCGTCAGAGAGAAAATGCGATGAAACCAATTAACATATCGCAGGCCAAACCATTTCACAGCTACCAGTCTATACTTTGTGAGCGAGCACGGGCATAGAGATCGAAATCTCATATATACTTGTTATCTGGCGCGCAGCCAGGATTTTCAAAGAGGGGATTTCAAAATAGGTTACGTAAACCACATTTGGGCGGCGAGGAACTCAGCAATCCTCTCGCAAACTTAACCCGGTGGAAAAATTATAGACTAAAATTTTCGAGACATCACCGCGTGTTTTGCTCAACAAAATCAAAAGCTATTGTGCTATCATAGGCCGAGGAAAATTATAGGAATTTGCAACCCAAATTTAGTTCATTATGACTATTATCTTTCGTGTAGCCCAGGGCTACAGACCGGTCGATCGCAAAGGCTCGAGTAGCCAATCGCGTCTGATATTAAGTGAATTTAATATAATACACCAAAAAAATGCCGTGAACCAGTTTCATGCAGCGCCTGTAACGTTTAGTACTGCAGGAAAAATACAGTACTGTACAGGCGCAAAATACGATACACACACAGTATTTGAGTTTGGGCAAGACCGATAGAGCATATTATTACGTAACAAACGCAAAGGGTGCCTGACCGACGAACGACCTTTTAATAACTTCCGCGTACTTCGGAAATGCGTACACGTTCGGCGATCGAGGCGGTACTGGGAAGTTTTTGTCTCGCTCCAACAGTAGTGTGATAAATTTATTCGCAGCGGTAGCAGTGGCATCAGAATATCCAATGTTTTCTAACTCCAGGCAAGTGAAAATAGAACTTGGAGAATTGGAAAATAGATACTGAAGTTCGAGCAGTCATATAACATGGTTTGAGAATATTCATTTTTCGTTGTTTAGATAAAACATGGATACTTGGCTAGCTGCTTTTAAGCTCATATATGAAACTCAATGCTGAATTGTTTAATTGCGTTTTGATTCACAATGTATTTGTTAGCTGGTAGAAGTTGTCGTCAAAAAGGGAACTCAGCGCTAATGTATTGCAATTTATCAATGGTTACTAAAGTTGAATATCCGGGGACCAGTTAAAAGTGGAAAGATATTCGCTGGCCGGGAGTAGGGAGTGCCCGCAAGAGGCCGATACTTTCTTGGGTGCTCCCGAAGTATGCGAACCAAGATGGCGGACATCGGAACGTAACATGGGTAACAGGTTAGGGTTGGGCGATAATTTTATTCCAATTTTCCTTATTTTAGTCCTATTATCAGTTCGAAGACTGAGAGCCTCCCGTAGTATTTATACCTAAAATTATGGCCTAACCCTAACCTAGTACACATGTTACATTCCGATGTCCGCCATCTTGGTTCGCATATTTCGGGAGCCCCCTTTCTTGAATATTATATGCTACCTGCCTATAGGTCGCGACCCAAAACTGGGTTGCCAGAAAATTTTCTTGGCTTGTTTGCTTTTCAACAAAAACTACTAATTTTATTTTATAGTAGATCTTATTGTTTATTTAATATTCGGTATTGAAGTGTTGATCAATAGTAATTGCATGTGTATCACTGCGTAAAAACTTAGCGGCATTTTTTTTGCTCAAGTAAAGCCACGCGTCGATTTTAAATACTCGCTGATGGCAAAAAAAGCAGTTTTCTCACTTCAAAATAATTTCTTGGGAAATAAACTGATTGTTTTATATTATTCATTTAATTTTGCTCCTAAAGTACCACATATCAGATAGTATCTGAGGGCGCTCCCGAAGTATGTGCACCAAGATGACACACAACCTGAACCTTAATCTGGTACGCATATTATATTCAGGTTGTGCGCCATCCTTGGGTCGCAAAATTTCACAAAATCAAGTTTTTTAAATTTCGGTCGCTTGAAAAAACACTTTTTCTATATGACTTTTACATATTCAGCACATTGGTTGTAAAATAATTATTCAAGAATCTATGAATACCGAGAAAACTCATTTTAATATCAGCTTACCACGTGAATAGAATTGTTGAAAATCTAAAATTGTTTTATTTGTTTTAAAGTACTTTCCATTGACTTTTCAATTCATCGTTGGACAAACTTTCCTATTTCATTATTAATCCTACTCAACTGGTGGACCGCGGTCCGAATCTGGACCTTTCGGGTATTTGATTCGGACCACACCTAATTCTTTATTTTAGATCATTAACCCCACTTTTGAAGTTTCTTTTTATAAAATGACTTTCATAGTTTTGAATATATATGAAAAGAACTATAACACCACAATAAGCAATTTTGATTAGCTAATAATCATTAGCCGGTCGAGGAAGTGTGCGTGGATGCCGAAATATAAATTATGGGAATACCGGACCCAAATAATTTTGAAGTTTTGTATGCGGATCTTCGGTAAAAATAGTTGAGTAGCTCTGACTTATCCAACTCACGACAATTATAGTGGTGGCCTTGATCAGGGCTTCACAAGCTGGGGGTCGCGACCCCATAGGGAGGCACGCAACGAATTTTACACAAAGTATTTAATATACATTTTAGGCTTTCAATTCGAAACACAATTATAAAAACTAGTGCAAAACATAAATCTCACGATTTCGAGAGAATACGTAGGGCAGAATAGAAGCGATGCGCTTGGATAACAACAGTAGTCGCGAGCTTAAAAGTTTGGGAAGCTCTGGCCTAGATGATTTAATAAAAATAATAATAATTTATTAAAATAACTTTGATATTATACTTGCATAATCTTAATAATACTAATCTTGCATAATAATACTAACTTGGGAATGCAGAGATTTGTATACTTTGTTGAATTATTAAACATTATAACGACACAAATCTTTGTTTTTACAGATTCTCTCGTTTTAAATAATTATTAACTATGATATCACCAATAGTCTCTTTGATTCTATTTCTCTCGCTTTCCATAATCAGAAATGAAATGACACAAGAGGGGAATGGTTTACAATTAGAGAATGTAGAAGATGTATCTGGCGAAAATCGGTATGTAGCAAATTTTGCAAAGTAGTATTTTGGTAATTTTACAAAAAAACTTGTAATTATCAGATGTGGCAGCGACTCATTGATAACAATTTAGGCCTCTAGTTGTGAAGACTATATTGTTCAGTCTCAATGGCTGCCTAAAATATGCCAACAGTACCTGTAAGCGGCACGTGGTTCAATGTTTAAAATAAGAGTGTTAATTTTGAACATGTGAAGCAGTTTGACAGCGCTAACTCTCCTAAACACTTCATAAAGCGTTCAAATTTTTTCAATGGAATGGGGATAATATTTCAAGGGTCAAGGGTCAAGGAAACGTCCATAATAAGAAATAGTGAACGATTCCTGCTCTAAATCTTCTACTTATGAGCAAAACAGCGCTTTGTGCGGAACAACTTTATGAAAATAAATAACGACTAATATATTTATTTTTAGTGCTGAAGTACAAACCATTCCGGGCAAGAAAGACCCAAAAGACGGACAAGAAAGCACAAACACTTTTGCAGATGCAACAACGGTTCCTTTCGTTCCACCGACAATTTCTCTGCCTCCTGGATTCACTGAACAAGGTTTGTTGCATTTATCTACTAGTGGTTCCCAAACTTTATTGACCAGGGCCAAAATTAGGAGCCGAAGAAAACTGTGTGTTCGCAGAATTGAATCCTATGCGGGGATAGTTATGTGCGATGGTTCACGTGATTGCTGGTTGGGTACAGCATACTTCACCATCAAGTCCATGCTTTTGATAACAAATAACTGGCTAACTAATCCCATAACCGACATTGACTGGTAATCGGACATGATCACAAGGTTCATATTATGATTGAGCATTCCCATCTGCCCCGGGATAAAATATGTAAGTCCTAACCTCTCGCAGAACGCCAGTGGTTTCGGAAGGACATTCGCGAGCCGGGATAGGGGAGCGCAATCAAGTGGCCGATATTGATACGTATGATTAAGATTCCTCTATAATTTAATTGTTACGAATACAAACATGCTCAAACTGCGATAATGACGTAACAATTGATGGTATTCAGAACGCAAAAAGGTAAAAACATAAAGTGTTAAACTATTTCACTCAAGTTCGACTGGTCCTAATAAATCGTCACGTGGGCCGTAATTGGCCCGCGGGCCGCCATTTGGGAACCGCTGCATTATACGAATGTGAGTGTGCAGTTTAGATTTTTTAATACTGCGATTTTATATTCACACCCCGAAAAGGCTCTTTGCAAGCTTCTATTGGTATGTAAAGAACTACTATTTTCTGGAGGTCAGTCTTCACGGTTTGGCATTGTCTCCCAAATGCTAACCTAGGTAGGGTTTAGGATTCACATATTTATCCCAGGGGAGAGGAAAGTCGATAAGACGGCTAAATCATATGGTGAACCACGGCCTTTCGTCCGGTTACCAAATCAGGTCGGGTATGGGATTAGTTAGCCAGGTATTTGTTTTCGGAAGCATGGACTTGATGGTGGAGGAAGCCGTAACCCTGTGAACCACCCTGCGGCAGCGACGTGTCCAGCAATCCTCTCGCATATAATCATCCCTTTATGGGATTCGAATCTGCGAACCCACGCAGGGTAATCAGAGGTGCGATGGCGAGCGTATTCCTAACGCTTAGAACGATGCGCCACGCCACCGAGCCTGAAGAAAAAAGTACAAAAAGTAAAAGGCATAAACGTTCAAATATGCAGATGTATGATGACACACTTTGATCAATTATTAGTATTTAACAATTGATATTTATTTGAATTACAGATATTGTGCGCTATGACGGAAGAATATTCATACCGTTGGTATCTGAGAAGGTTTACAAAGCATCAGCGATCTCCAAATGTCAACAGCTCGGTTTTGAACTTGCAAATATATACAACCAGATTCACATGGACAAAATAATGACATTCATTCGTGATAACAAGTTGGCCGGGATATCACAAATAGACTTTCATCTCGGCATGACATACGACCCTATTGTAAGTATATAAAAGTTTAATCAGTATTTCTCCTAACTGCTCATATTTTATAACTTCGTTGTTTGAAATTTAAAAAAAGTAAGTTGTGAAGTCATATTATTAGAAAGTTTGTCATTTTTTGTGTACTTTGCACCTTCGATCCAGATAAGGCTCTTCGTAAGAGTTACTGAAACGTAGAGGGATTGATAAAGCTGTTATCTTTCGTTCGTCTTATTCAGTCAGTTAGTAATATTTTTGCTTACCGGAAGTAGACATCGTGAGCGACCTGCTATCGCGGTGCCACTCCCGGTGTTAATGAAACGAAACAACTCTAGACACGACGGGTAACCATGGCAACCGCACTTCATTACATAACAAACTCACGATGAAGGGTGGCGTGAAAGAAACAATGTTGGTTATAAAGCTGCGCCCCCCTTAATAAAAATCTAATTTTGATACAGGTTGAATAAAAAGAAGTCGAACAATATATGTAAATAAAAATAGTAATGATCATAAAATCGGATACATTACAAAAAAATATCGGGCTTTAGAAAGTAGCGGCAACGTTTACCTTCCATAACCTTTGAATATAATCAGATTGTCATAATAATTGAACACTTAATATAGTTTCACTTATTTGTTTTAGAATCAGAATCTTCGTTTCCAAAACGGAACTGTGACATCACACAGTGGTTTCAAATGGCGCAAAGGGTCTCCATACAATGGGCAGAGGTATTCTGGTTGGACAAACATGTTTATCTGGATTCAGGAAGATTCAACAAGCCGATATCAATACATTTACAACTACCCAGATAGTAACCAATACGTCCTGTGTGAAGTTTGAACTTCCCTCCAACTATTATAGCGAATTTCAGATGAAAAATTAAGATGGAAAACTCTTTCCGTATAAATACTACAAATATCCCCAGCTTTCTAATTTCTTTTAGATGGGGAATCACTGTTTATCCCTCATATAAGCCGACTATAAAAAACGTAACGTGCTGTACGCACCTATCACAGCAAATGATAACCATATATTGTGATGCTTCACTTTAATTATTAACGATAAGAAACGTCTCAAAATCCTCAAATACGCGTATAGACCGAATTTTGCCAATCAGAGATAACACGGCTTAATCATATGGCGGTTACCAGTTCATGTCGGTATTGGATTAGTTAGCCAGGTATTTGTTTTCATGTGCATGGATTTAATAGAGGAAAAAGCAGTGACCGACCAGCTGTTGTGTGCACAACACTATTCTCGCCTAGGATTCCTAACGCTTAGCACGATGTGCCACATCACCGATCTAAAAAAGAAAAGCCTATGATTTAGCAACCATGTTCATTTATAAATCTACTGCGGACAATAATCCCCGCTGAATTTAAAGTTTGATTACTTATTATTCTATTTCTTTGATGTTCTCAACAAAGTTCATTATTTTTACCTTTTTGTTCATAATATGTGATAAATACAGGGTGTCGATGAGGTCCTTTTACAATTTAAATTTGTTATAAAGTCAGTTCTTAATATATCTTAACCAGGTTTGTTGTTTTTTAATCAGTAAGTATTTTAAGTGCTTTTACTCCATTCAATACATCTGCGAGGGTCAAAACAATAAATGGTATCGATGAATTCCCTCTGCAATTTTAAAATTTTTCAAAGACTTCATGGATACCCTATATTATTGAATTGCTTTCAGTTGTCTTTGTTTGTTTATTCAAATATTCATTTTATGTCAAAATTAATTCAAAAAAATTAAAAATAAAAGTTGGCATTTACTAAACAAGTGATTCATATTTCACCAAAGATAGTTCCATGTATCAAAATTTATGACATAGTCTTTTTTTTTTCCTCAAAATTTGAGGTTCAAAAATTATAATATACCGTGTCTCGTATTTAATACTTCTGAAGTTATCGTTATTTTTGCAGAACCTATCAATATTCAACCTTAAATCGTTTAACGCATTGGTGGCAGATTACGGCTTAATAAATTTCTGTTTAAAATATCGATGAAAATATAGTCATAATGACCTCGATTGTTACATTGTGTTTCTCATTATTATAGGTGCCAGTGGTTCTTGAATGGCGGGCGCACCCCACAAGGGGGCGTAAATAATTTTGAGGGGGCATGAAGTTAATTATAATAAAAAATATTTGTTAGACTTGATTTTGTCTGCCTTAGTTTGGATATTCACATTTTTTTATTGTTTAGCCTTTAGAGATTGCATAGAGCTGTTGTTCTCGTATCTTTATCTGGGAGCATGTTTAAGAGTTCAACTTCATGCTGCTAGTTCAGGGTGGTCCAAGGTTGTAGGCTACGCAGGCCAAAATTTTTTTTTGCATTGTTCTAGGGCCACAATAGTGCCAAGAATAGGTAAACAGTGCAATACAAAACAAACTCTTTTATTGTGCGAACACATAGTTATCAGACATAGACATCCCAGGCTAATAGAATCCGCATTCGATTTTTAGTTTTCTATGATGCCTATATTGTTAGCATATATTCCTGGCCAAAAAGATAGAAAGCCAGATAATAATTTAGACTGCCAAGCACATCATCCAACTTCGCTATTTGCCTCGGCTAGCCATAACACTAGTCAATTCAGTCACATAAGTATTGTAACAATATGTCAAAAGATATTTCTGAATAATTTTATTACGAAACAACACGAAATGCGATTTTTTGATTACTCTCCGAATGTGACGCGGGCCACAGATAATGTAGCGGCGGGCCACATGTGTCCCGCGGGCCTGCATATGGACCACCCTGTGCTAGTTTAAAGTGTCTAGAACTGACATAGGCAAACTAAGGCCTGTTGAGTAATTCAATCTGGCCTGCCTGATGCTGCCACAACCAAACTATAATTAACCAAATTTCGATGTTTTAGGTAAAATTAACTCAAGAAATTTGTTAAAATTGCAATTAAATTCAATGTTGGCACGAGGCTTATTGTTTTTCATTTTGCTTTCTGTAACACTGTAAATATCATTCATGAAAAGTAACTCTTTACGTCACACTTACATGGCCCGAGATTTGACAGCTGAAAAATTTGAGAACCACTGAAACTTAAAGCTTTTGAACTAGCATTTGTAAATAAACTGTTTTTTATTCATGGATTTTTCATATTAAGCTTTATGCTTCCGCCCCAGTATCCAAGCCTATTATCTGTAACTGGCCAACTCTAAAAATAATCGCCCACCCCTGGTTTAACGCAAAATAGATTCATTTGGAAATTTTAAGATTAACAATAGTTGCAAATATAACTGTAGAATACTTGAATATTTTGATAAGAACATTTTCGGACATAATTCATTTATGTTTAATTGCTTTTCTTTATTATTTTATGTTTATTCTACAATCTTCAATACGCATTGACAAATCAAAACGTGATTTTCATATTAACATTGCTATAGAATTGCGTGAATAAAATATTTCCAAAATATTACGCTAACATTGAAAACCTATTAGCAGTTAGGGGGGGGGGGGGGGGGGTCTCACAGTAATCAGGAGAAAGAAAAAAGTCAAACATTGTACAATTAAAAAAGTTTACAGCAAAAAATAACCGACCCGTAACACACGAAAATACGACTCTGATACGACTCTGGCCAAACAAAGTAACTCCAGGAACGGCATTTTAAATACAAGGCAGCACTGAATATGGCGCTCTAGAAGTGTGTGTGCCAATATGGAGGCAACTAATTTTGTTCGCCTGCTTTACATCAAGTTGTGCAAAAGTACTGAAATCTATGGGAAGGGGTACATTCACTTGGCTATCAAAGACGGTCCTCGAACCCGTAATAAAACTAAAATAAGGAAAATCGAAATAAAATTATGGGGGCTCCCGAAGTATGCGAACGAAGATGGCGGACATCGGAATGTAATATGTGTACTAGGTTAGGGTTAGGCCATAATTTTAGGTATAAATACTACGGGAGGCTCTTGGCTAGTCTTCGAACTGATAATAGGACTAAAATAAAGAAAATTAGAAAGAAATTATCGCCTAACCCTAACCTGTTACCCATGTTACGTTCCGATGTCCGCCATCTTGGTTCGCATACTTCGGGAGCACCAAATTATGGCCTAACCCTAACCAGGTACACACACTACGAGAGTACCTCCAAATACTGTATCGTTTTTTCTTGGAAGTTCTTCAGATCATTTTCAAATTCCCTTGTACAGTGAATTGGTTAGCCACACTAAACTTCTCGCATAGATGAAATGCTCAAATCGAAACAGTGAATACTTTTTCGTCTCATTGTCTGTGTTACTCGTGTGTTTGTATAATATTCCTGATTTGTCATCTTACGCAAGCTACCCGGTACACCTAAAGTATGCGAACCAAGATGTCGGACACCGGAACGTATTATGTGTATCAGGTTAAGGTTGGGCTATTATTTTATTCCAATATTCCTTATTTCAGTTCTATTACGAGCTCGGGGACTATTCAGGTGACTCCCGTGGTATTTGTACCTAAAATTATGGCCTAACCTGGTACACATACTATGTTCCGATGTCCGCCACCTTGGTTCACATACTACAGGAGTACAATCTAACACGCAAAGGCGAGTAATTTCCATTCTGCTATATTGTTTTCATGGTGTGCAGTAAACTCATGGAGACCTTTTAAAAGTCGCTTTGTTCACTTCTGGGTTCCTGATTTTGGTATTGTTCACCGTCACCAGTAGTGTTTCAGATCCTACAAGGACGAGGCGGTCAATCGTCTCGCACATAATTAGTCCCGACGAGATTGGCATCCATGTAGGAAAATCAGATTCGATTCCAAAATAGATGGCGGAATGAATGTAACGTGAAAAGTTGAAACCACTGATCTAAGTAATTTCTTTAGCCTGATGTGCATAGGATTCTTTCCCTGCCGAAAACCGTGGACTTAGTCTCAGAGTAAATAGATAGATCGCTAGCTTGACTGGGGCTTCATGGTTGGATTTAAAGACGTATTTCCAAAGTCGGAATTCCAGGTTTTCATGACGATAATGGCGGATCAAATTTGACGCTCCAGAAGTGTGTGTACAAATATGGAGGGAACTGAATTTGTTCGCTTTTTTTTAATGGTCAGGGAAACATCCATATCATTTCATTTCTGTTGGTGTGTGGTTCTCGTTAATTTTGAAAAGGGGCGGTTACGGGTACAGGACAAGTTATTCCAGGATGCATCGACTCGCCTGTACCGTGAGCCCGGTTAGCTCAGTCGGTAGAGCGTTGGACTTTTAATCCAACGGTCAAGGGTTCAAGTCCCTTATCGGGCGCTTGCTTTTTACTCAACTAGTGTATCTTTTCTTGGTATTTCTCCACAGAAATTTGGTTTGCATATCCACTACTTTATTTTATTCGTCTTGTCGCTAAGATTGCATAATATCGTATTTTTCCTTTTAAAACGTAAGCAAAAATGAATCACAAATTAAAAACAAGATATTCACATATTCAATAGTGAAAGCAGCGAACACGATGGGCTAAAATGAACGCCTTCTATTGATGCATCAATACACCTGCTTCGAGTGTAGTATGTTTAATTTAATTTTTCCGGGGGAACCCCGTCGTGAGCTGTCTATTGTGACATCGACAATTAAGTAAAATTTTAATCCACTTGATCCTGGTTGGTAGCGGTAACTCAGGGGAAACGTAGAGACGTGTTCAAACATCAGGCAAGGTATGGGGGCGGGGCCGAACCACACCGGGTAGATTGTAGGGAAGGACTAGCAGACAAGACAGGCGGGAAGGAAAAGGAGTCGAGAAGCAAGCGGGAGCTGCAGTCAAGTAGAGTGAAGATGGAAATCAAAGATCAAGCTAGACCAGCCACAAGCCGACAAAAAAGCCAGCAATGCCAGCAGTGGTTTAGTCAAAGGAAATGAAGATGGAGTGAGCGAAAATAGATTGGAGGGTCCATTCAGTTCAATATCAGCGATCAAGCGGGACGGAGTAAAGGCAGTGGGATCAGCGAGAGGTCGGAAAATGCAAATACCAGTGCCAACCAGCGCATTCAAAAAGGATATAATCAAATGAATGAGAAACTTGGATAAACTAAAATGGAAAACAGCAATCTTGCAAGCAAGTAGAAATGCTGAGAAGGAAATGGAAATCAGCGAGGCCCAAGGAAGAAATTAAGTGAGAAAAAGCTCGGTGGGTGTGGAAGTGTAAAGTAGTAAATAGCCGCAAGCAGTCAGTAAGGAAATAAATGAAAAAGGCTAGATGAAAAGCTAAGTCACATTGAAAAAAAGTTACCAAGCGAAATGCAGCAATCCGCAGATAGTGTCACAATAAATATGATGGAGTGAAAATTGAAATCGGCGTGACCCAAGAAGAAAAAAATGAATTAAGGTGAAAAATGTGAATGGAATGAAAAATAGAAAGGTATCGAGCAGGTTTTAGTAGCAGCGAGGGAACTTAAAAATATTGAAATGAAAGAGCAGTCAACGACAAATAAATATAAAATATTCAAGCAAGCGAGTTGTGAAGTGAAAAGCAGCGAGTAATTCCAAGTTTTAGTAGTAGCGAGGTATAGAGCAACGAGAAAAATATTAAATCAATTAAGATAAAAAAAATATATTCAAGCAAGCAAGCTGTGAAATGAAATCAGCAGCAATTCAAGGAAAATTGGAATGTAGAATAAAATAAAAATAAAATTAAGATGGCAATGTTGGTCAAGCGAAATAAATAATAGATCAGCGAGAGCGAGAGGCGCAAGGAAAAATTGAGATGAAATGAAATAAAGTGAAAAAATCATCCATGCAGGAGGTGTTATAGCGGAAATAGGAAATTAGTAAAATTTAAATTATTGTTTTACAATATAGTGGAATTTTGTGTGCGCATGGTAGCATGAAGAATAGTGTATGATATCTAAGTATGTATACCAATATGGTGGTAATTAATTTTGTTCGCCTACTTTACATCGAGTTCTGTAAAGGGACTGAAACATATAGGCAGGGGGAATATTGACTTAGCTAACACAGACAGTCCCCGAACGCGAAATAGAACCAAAATAGGAAAAATCGGAATAAAATTATGGCCCAACCCTAACCTGGTACACATACTACGGGAGTACCATTTTTTCATGTTTTCAGCCATGTACAGGTGGCGGATATATCCAATAAATTTGGCTGGAATGATTCCACGAAATGAGGTATATCTTACGCTTTACGCTCCATCGGTCTCTCGTTTTAAACTTTCGTCGATCTCTCGTTTCTAACGCAAAACCTAAATATAAAAAGCCGAATAGGAAGCTTCGATACCGCCTACGACCATACCACGTTGAATACACCCGATCTCGTTCGATCTCGGAAGTTAAGCAACGTCGGGCTCGGTTAGTACTTGCATGGGTGACCGGCTGGGAATACCGGGTGCCGTAGGCTTTTGATTTTTACAAATCATATTGATTTGGGACATTTAAAAATAATTTAATTACGGGTTTGTAGTCTGTCCGTACAGGATTATCATTTTCCTAATTTACAAACAAATGATTTTGGTTAGGTTAAAGTTGTAAAATATCAGTCTCCCAAATCTGCGATACACAATGTTAAAATAGACTATCAGTACACTTAAATGAGATGTAGCTTTTATATTTTGAATAAAGTGGATTGTTTCGAACTTGTAAACTAGTTTGTAAGCGCTAAATCGCGAAAAAACTAAAAATGATCAGCAATTTTTCAATGACACAGTATGAAGGAAACTTTCTAGAGTCACGATTCGAAAGAATGCTCATGAGTCATGGCTTCAATGTTCTTAACATAAATTGTTGAGTTGCCACAAGCTTTAAAGACATCTACAAATAAGAAAACTACACCTCGTCACCCCGGGTATTCTGAGTTCATAGAATAATTCTGACTCTTTGATTTTCATTTTTCCTCGTATATATAATTCTAAAAATGGCGCTTCGGAAGTATGTGTACCAAGATGACGCACAACCTGAACCATAACCTGACACACATTCTATGTGCAGGCTGTGCGCCATTTTGTTACACATACTTCGGGAGCACCAATAAAACTAGGAAACTAGATACGATTTAGCTAAGAATGAAAACTTGCGAACAGCACGCATGGATTATATACATACATCCCGGTGGCGCGACAGCCTCGATTTATAGAGGCTATTTCGGCGTTCCGTCCAGTGAGCTTAAATGTTCCGGTCATGCCGAAATAAAGAATTTTTGTTTATATATCAATACAATTTTTTTTAATAAATGGGGAAGTTTATTAATGATTTGCGACTCACTTCACCAGTTCCGTGAGAGACAACACTATCTTGTTATGTCATAGGTATTAATACGTCAATTTAGCATCAAACATAATCTGTACTGCTGTTAAATTATTTAAAACGCCGAAAAGAAAGTGCACCTTTCCTAATAATCCATATGTGTTGAATATTACTATTCGAACCGTCTAAGTATTTTGTTTCACATATATGGTAAGCCTACTTGCAGGCTTTTGTCTAATTTCAGACATTTACCGATGTGCTTTTTCTTACTTCTGTGAAAAATACGTAAAAAATTAAGGCAGACTTGCCATTACTGTAAATCCTACTCTTTACGCTCCATCGGTCTCTCGTTTTAAACTTTCGTCGATCTCTCGTTTCTAACGCAAAACCTAAATATAAAAAGCCGAATAGGAAGCTTCGATACCGCCTACGACCATACCACGTTGAATACACCCGATCTCGGAAGTTAAGCAACGTCGGGCTCGGTTAGTACTTGCATGGGTGACCGGCTGGGAATACCGGGTGCCGTAGGCTTTTGATATTTACAAATCATATTGATTTGGGACATTTAAAAATAATTTAATTACGGGTTTGTAGTCTGTCCGTACAGGATTATCATTTTCCTAATTTACAAACAAATGATTTTGGTTAGGTCAAAGTTGTAAAATATCAGTCTCCCAAATCTGCGATACACAATGTTAAAATAGACTATCAGTACACTTAAATGAGATGTAGCTTTTATATTTTGAATAAAGTGGATTGTTTCGAACTTGTAAACTAGTTTGTAAGCGCTAAATCGCGAAAAAACTAAAAATGATCAGCAATTTTTCAATGACACAGTATGAAGGAAACTTTCTAGAGTCACGATTCGAAAAAAAGGCTCATGAGTCATGGCTTCAATGTTCTTAACATAAATTGTTGAGTTTCCACAAGCTTTAAAGACATCTACAAATAAGAAAACTACACCTCGTCACCCCGGGTATTCTGAGTTCATAGAATAATTCTGACTCTTTGATTTTCATTTTTCCTCGTATATATAATTCTAAAAATGGCGCTTCGGAAGTATGTGTACCAAGATGACGCACAACCTGAACCATAACCTGACACACATTCTATGTGCAGGCTGTGCGCCATTTTGTTACACATACTTCGGGAGCACCAATAAAACTAGGAAACTAGATACGATTTAGCTAAGAATGAAAACTTGCGAACAGCACGCATGGGTTATATACATACATCCCGGTGGCGCGACAGCCGCGATTTATAAAGGCTATTTCGGCGTTCCGTCCAGTGAGCTTAAATGTTCCGGTCATGCAGAAATAAATAATTTTTGTTTATTAAATATCAATACAATTTTTTTTAATAAATGGGGAAGTTTATTAATGGTTTGCGACTCACTTCACCAGTTCCGTGAGAGACAACACTATCTTGTTATGTCATAGGTATTAATACGTCACTTTAGCATCAAACATAATCTGTACTGCTGTTAAATTATTTAAAATGCCGAAAAGAAAATGCACCTTTCTTAATAATCCATATGTGTTGAATATTACTATTCGAACCGTCTAAGTATTTTGTTTCACATATATGGTAAGCCTACTTGCAGGTTTTTGTCTGATTTCAGACATTTACCGATGTGCTTTTTCTTCTGTGAAAAATACGTAAAAAATTAAGGCAGACTTGCCATTACTGTAAATCCTACTCTTTACGCTCCATCGGTCTCTCGTTTTAAACTTTCGTCGATCTCTCGTTTCTAACGAAAAACCTAAATATAAAAAGCCGAATAGGAAGCTTCGATACCGCCTACGACCATACCACGTTGAATACACCCGATCTCGTTCGATCTCGGAAGTTTAAGCAACGTCGGGCTCGGTTAGTACTTGCATGGGTGACCGGCTGGGAATACCGGGTGCCGTAGGCTTTTGATATTTACAAATCATATTGATTTGGGACATTTAAAAATAATTTAATTACGGGTTTGTAGTCTGTCCGGACAGGATTATCATTTGCCTAATTTACAAACAAATGATTTTGGTTAGGTTAAAGTTGTAAAATATCAGTCTCCCAAATCTGCGATACACAATGTTAAAATAGACTATCAGTACACTTAAATGAGATGTAGCTTTTATATTTTGAATAAAGTGGATTGTTTCGAACTTGTAAACTAGTTTGTAAGCGCTAAATCGCGAAAAAGTTAAAAATGGACATCAGCAATTTTTCAATGACACAGTATGAAGGAAACTTTCTAGAGTCACAATTCGAAAGAATGCTCATGAGTCATGGCTTCAATGTTCTTAATATAAATTGTTGAGTTGCCACAAGCTTTAAAGACATCTACAAATAAGAAAACTACACCTCGTCACCCCGGGTATTCTGAGTTCATAGAATAATTCTGACTCTTGATTTTCATTTTTCCTCGTATATATAATTCTAAAAATGGCGCTTCGGAAGTATGTGTACCAAGATGACGCACAACTTGAACCATAACTTGACACACATTCTATGTGCAGGCTGTGCGCCATTTTATTACACATACTTCGGGAGCACCAATAAAACTAGGAAACTAGATACGATTTAGCTAAGAATGAAAACTTGCGAACAGCACGAATGGGTTATATACATACATCCCGGTGGCGCGACAGCCGCGATTTATAGAGGCTATTTCGGCGTTCCGTCCAGTGAGCTTAAATGTTCCGGTCATGCCGAAATAAAGAATTTTTGTTTATATATCAATACAATTTTTTTTAATAAATGGGGAAGTTTATTAATGATTTGCGACTCACTTCACCAGTTCCGTGAGAGACAACACTATCTTGTTATGTCATAGGTATTAATACGTCAATTTAGCATCAAACATAATCTGTACTGCTGTTAAATTATTTAAAACGCCGAAAAGAAAGTGCACCTTTCCTAATAATCCATATGTGTTGAATATTACTATTCGAACCGTCTAAGTATTTTGTTTCACATATATGGTAAGCCTACTTGCAGGCTTTTGTCTAATTTCAGACATTTACCGATGTGCTTTTTCTTACTTCTGTGAAAAATACGTAAAAAATTAAGGCAGACTTGCCATTACTGTAAATCCTACTCTTTACGCTCCATCGGTCTCTCGTTTTAAACTTTCGTCGATCACTCGTTTCTAACGCAAAACCTAAATATAAAAAGCCGAATAGGAAGCTTCGATACCGCCTACGACCATACCACGTTGAATACACCCGATCTCGGAAGTTAAGCAACGTCGGGCTCGGTTAGTACTTGCATGGGTGACCGGCTGGGAATACCGGGTGCCGTAGGCTTTTGATATTTACAAATCATATTGATTTGGGACATTTAAAAATAATTTAATTACGGGTTTGTAGTCTGTCCGTACAGGATTATCATTTTCCTAATTTACAAACAAATGATTTTGGTTAGGTCAAAGTTGTAAAATATCAGTCTCCCAAATCTGCGATACACAATGTTAAAATAGACTATCAGTACACTTAAATGAGATGTAGCTTTTATATTTTGAATAAAGTGGATTGTTTCGAACTTGTAAACTAGTTTGTAAGCGCTAAATCGCGAAAAAACTAAAAATGATCAGCAATTTTTCAATGACACAGTATGAAGGAAACTTTCTAGAGTCACGATTCGAAAAAAAGGCTCATGAGTCATGGCTTCAATGTTCTTAACATAAATTGTTGAGTTTCCACAAGCTTTAAAGACATCTACAAATAAGAAAACTACACCTCGTCACCCCGGGTATTCTGAGTTCATAGAATAATTCTGACTCTTTGATTTTCATTTTTCCTCGTATATATAATTCTAAAAATGGCGCTTCGGAAGTATGTGTACCAAGATGACGCACAACCTGAACCATAACCTGACACACATTCTATGTGCAGGCTGTGCGCCATTTTGTTACACATACTTCGGGAGCACCAATAAAACTAGGAAACTAGATACGATTTAGCTAAGAATGAAAACTTGCGAACAGCACGCATGGGTTATATACATACATCCCGGTGGCGCGACAGCCGCGATTTATAAAGGCTATTTCGGCGTTCCGTCCAGTGAGCTTAAATGTTCCGGTCATGCAGAAATAAATAATTTTTGTTTATTAAATATCAATACAATTTTTTTAATAAATGGGGAAGTTTATTAATGGTTTGCGACTCACTTCACCAGTTCCGTGAGAGACAACACTATCTTGTTATGTCATAGGTATTAATACGTCACTTTAGCATCAAACATAATCTGTACTGCTGTTAAATTATTTAAAATGCCGAAAAGAAAATGCACCTTTCTTAATAATCCATATGTGTTGAATATTACTATTCGAACCGTCTAAGTATTTTGTTTCACATATATGGTAAGCCTACTTGCAGGTTTTTGTCTGATTTCAGACATTTACCGATGTGCTTTTTCTTCTGTGAAAAATACGTAAAAAATTAAGGCAGACTTGCCATTACTGTAAATCCTACTCTTTACGCTCCATCGGTCTCTCGTTTTAAACTTTCGTCGATCTCTCGTTTCTAACGAAAAACCTAAATATAAAAAGCCGAATAGGAAGCTTCGATACCGCCTACGACCATACCACGTTGAATACACCCGATCTCGTTCGATCTCGGAAGTTAAGCAACGTCGGGCTCGGTTAGTACTTGCATGGGTGACCGGCTGGGAATACCGGGTGCCGTAGGCTTTTGATATTTACAAATCATATTGATTTGGGACATTTAAAAATAATTTAATTACGGGTTTGTAGTCTGTCCGGACAGGATTATCATTTGCCTAATTTACAAACAAATGATTTTGGTTAGGTTAAAGTTGTAAAATATCAGTCTCCCAAATCTGCGATACACAATGTTAAAATAGACTATCAGTACACTTAAATGAGATGTAGCTTTTATATTTTGAATAAAGTGGATTGTTTCGAACTTGTAAACTAGTTTGTAAGCGCTAAATCGCGAAAAAGTTAAAAATGGACATCAGCAATTTTTCAATGACACAGTATGAAGGAAACTTTCTAGAGTCACAATTCGAAAGAATGCTCATGAGTCATGGCTTCAATGTTCTTAATATAAATTGTTGAGTTGCCACAAGCTTTAAAGACATCTACAAATAAGAAAACTACACCTCGTCACCCCGGGTATTCTGAGTTCATAGAATAATTCTGACTCTTGATTTTCATTTTTCCTCGTATATATAATTCTAAAAATGGCGCTTCGGAAGTATGTGTACCAAGATGACGCACAACCTGAACCATAACCTGACACACATTCTATGTGCAGGCTGTGCGCCATTTTGTTACACATACTTCGGGAGCACCAATAAAACTAGGAAACTAGATACGATTTAGCTAAGAATGAAAACTTGCGAACAGCACGCATGGGTTATATACATACATCCCGGTGGCGCGACAGCCGCGATTTATAAAGGCTATTTCGGCGTTCCGTCCAGTGAGCTTAAATGTTCCGGTCATGCAGAAATAAATAATTTTTGTTTATTAAATATCAATACAATTTTTTTTAATAAATGGGGAAGTTTATTAATGGTTTGCGACTCACTTCACCAGTTCCGTGAGAGACAACACTATCTTGTTATGTCATAGGTATTAATACGTCACTTTAGCATCAAACATAATCTGTACTGCTGTTAAATTATTTAAAATGCCGAAAAGAAAATGCACCTTTCTTAATAATCCATATGTGTTGAATATTACTATTCGAACCGTCTAAGTATTTTGTTTCACATATATGGTAAGCCTACTTGCAGGTTTTTGTCTGATTTCAGACATTTACCGATGTGCTTTTTCTTCTGTGAAAAATACGTAAAAAATTAAGGCAGACTTGCCATTACTGTAAATCCTACTCTTTACGCTCCATCGGTCTCTCGTTTTAAACTTTCGTCGATCTCTCGTTTCTAACGAAAAACCTAAATATAAAAAGCCGAATAGGAAGCTTCGATACCGCCTACGACCATACCACGTTGAATACACCCGATCTCGTTCGATCTCGGAAGTTAAGCAACGTCGGGCTCGGTTAGTACTTGCATGGGTGACCGGCTGGGAATACCGGGTGCCGTAGGCTTTTGATATTTACAAATCATATTGATTTGGGACATTTAAAAATAATTTAATTACGGGTTTGTAGTCTGTCCGGACAGGATTATCATTTGCCTAATTTACAAACAAATGATTTTGGTTAGGTTAAAGTTGTAAAATATCAGTCTCCCAAATCTGCGATACACAATGTTAAAATAGACTATCAGTACACTTAAATGAGATGTAGCTTTTATATTTTGAATAAAGTGGATTGTTTCGAACTTGTAAACTAGTTTGTAAGCGCTAAATCGCGAAAAAGTTAAAAATGGACATCAGCAATTTTTCAATGACACAGTATGAAGGAAACTTTCTAGAGTCACAATTCGAAAGAATGCTCATGAGTCATGGCTTCAATGTTCTTAATATAAATTGTTGAGTTGCCACAAGCTTTAAAGACATCTACAAATAAGAAAACTACACCTCGTCACCCCGGGTATTCTGAGTTCATAGAATAATTCTGACTCTTGATTTTCATTTTTCCTCGTATATATAATTCTAAAAATGGCGCTTCGGAAGTATGTGTACCAAGATGACGCACAACTTGAACCATAACTTGACACACATTCTATGTGCAGGCTGTGCGCCATTTTATTACACATACTTCGGGAGCACCAATAAAACTAGGAAACTAGATACGATTTAGCTAAGAATGAAAACTTGCGAACAGCACGAATGGGTTATATACATACATCCCGGTGGCGCGACAGCCGCGATTTATAGAGGCTATTTCGGCGTTCCGTCCAGTGAGCTTAAATGTTCCGGTCATGCCGAAATAAAGAATTTTTGTTTATATATCAATACAATTTTTTTAATAAATGGGGAAGTTTATTAATGAT